CGACTTCAGCTACGCTATTCTCATAGCTGAAGTTGCGTATCTTAGATCGATTTCCCCCCCCCCCCTCCCGTGTAGACCAGGCCTAGGAGCTATACTGATTTTAACTATTTCAGTAACAAATCACCCCCCACCCCCCTAGCTGATATATTTAAAATCAGTACAAAAATGACGTAGACCAGACCTAAATTGGTTTAGGAACTGATTTTGGGGGTGGGGGGTTGGGGAGAGGTTTGTGCTGACCTAACTAAACTAGTCCAATCAAGAGGGTTGCAAATTTGCTTGTGTGCATGTCTCATGATGAAGGTCACACCTGAAGTCTGCAGCAGCATCAGCAACTAAGCCCAGATCAACCCAGTCCCACTTGAGTGTCTTTTAACCCCAATTTTGTCCTTTCTATTTCCATCTGAACAAATGAACAGCAAGGAGAATGTTCAGCGCCTAAAATGCCAAAACAACAAGGAGTCTGGTGGCACCTTAAAGACTAACAGATTTATTTGGGCATAAGCTTTCGTGGGTAAAAAACCCCACTTCTTCAGATGCATGGAGGGAAAGTTACAGATGCAGGCATTATATAAATGCCAAAGTGATAGGAAGCTTAGATATTCAGTGAGTGAAGGAATGGAGAACAGATTTTGTACGTGCTGAATCTAAGTGAAACTTGCTTACACATCTCCCTATCCTGTGTCTTACATCTACCAGGCAGTGAGGAATGGGGGAAAGAATTTTAAATAGTCAATTTTATCTCCACATCTTAAGAATTAGAGGACATACCCTGGAGAGTTAATCAATCAACTTGAGTAGTGAAGTTATGTGCCCTCCGCCCTCTCTCTCATTTGTTCATTTGCTAGAAATTTACGACAGTCAATGCAGTGTTGTACCTTTAAATTTCATTAAATCAGATCAACTTTTCAATAAAGGTAATAATAATAAAATCTATTGCATGTTTCATGTTAAAAGAAGGGGCTAAGGGAACAGTAAATCTGTATGTTATTTTGTAATTTTTTAATGAAATCTGCACCTGAGATATCAGAGAATTTGAGTTTTTAAAATATTTTGTGTTTCATTTCATTTACTACAGAATCTCGAAGTTACACGGAAGGCCTTAACCACTCGGTTGTGATGACTGACAGCACCATGGGCACCAATCCCGCTTTGCTGAGGACTGACATGCAGACAGCTCCTTCGTGTCAGCGGCCTTTTGTATCTGCATGCGCCATTTCCAGTAACAGCCCCATCCCAACCGGAGAAAGGTGGGAACTTGCCAGGGCTTTTTCTTCTACCTGGAAGTTTGGTTCATATAAAATCAATCTCCAGCTGTGTCATTAGGCCCGTGTCCACACTGCAGAATGACCATGTTAGCACATTCAGACTTTAGCTTTTATCCTCTATCAGGCCAGCCAACTCGGATAAAGAACTGCCAAGTGAGGTTCTTACCCACGAAAGCTTATGCTCCTAATACTTCTGTTAGTCTTAAAGGTGCCACAGGACCCTCTGCTGCTTTTTACACATTTGAGTAGGAGCTTTTTTGGGATGGATGTGACTCGGGTTAGAGGGAACACTTGAGTAAGAACCCAAGGTAACTTCGCAGTGAAGATAAGTCCTTGGAGAGTAATTACCTGATTTTCAGAAATGTTGAGCATGTTCTTTGGTATATTACGTGCATGTACTGAAGGGATATGTATGGCTTTTAAAAATTTTAGAAGTAATTATAGAGGTTGTTTATCTGCCTGAGAATAACTTTTAGCTATCAAAATACATAAAGAGATCACAGTCTCTTTTAATTCACTGCTTTGCTATCCGTCAGTGCAAGTTTGTACACACTTATCAGAGTGCTAACAGCTCACCATATTTTTTACTGATTTGGGGAAAATCCCATAACATTTCATATTGAAAACATATTGGTGCAGAACAAATAAACACTGTTTACAATGTGTATCATTCTATCATTTTAGCAAATATACTTCTAATAATTAAGATGTTTGGGGAAAACATTTTTGTGAGGGACAGAGCAAAAACAAGGGTCAACAATTGATTTCCTTTTCAAGTGCCCAGTTGCCTCAGAAACCTCATTATCATTAATTATTATTGGTTTTGTGGTTGCATCTAAGGCCCAAATCAAGGAGCAGGGTGTCATTGTGCTAGGCATAGTATAAGGACATAAAAGAGCTGATCCCTGTCCCAAAAAGCATAGAATTTAATTATAAAATGAGAGAGAACAGGTGGATACAACAAGCACACTGGAGAAGCTACAGAGTAACAATGAGAAGATTATGAACAGCCCCAATAGCAGAGTTCACAGCCATCCCAAATAGGGTTTCCTGTTCCCAGACTCCTAGGTGGATAGCTACTGTCTTCGCCCGCACCCCCATCCCTTCACTGTTTGATTATTATTGATCTCACCTTCCACATCTCTGAGTGTGTCTAATTACCATCTCTATTCATGGCTGATTGGCGTCTTTTTCACAGTATCAGAGTAGCAGCCGTGTTAGTCTGTATCCGCAAAAAGAACAGGAGTACTTGTGGCACCTTAGAGACTAACAAATTTATTAGAGCATAAGCTTTCATGGGCTACAGCCCACTTCTTCGGATGCATCCGATGAAGTGGGCTGTAGCCCACGAAAGCTTATGCTCTAATAAATTTGTTAGTCTCTAAGGTGCCACAAGTACTCCTGTTCTTTTTTCACAGTAGTTTTCAGAACTGCCCTTCTATTAGCTGATGCTAGCTGGCTGAAGTGTCAAGCTCTTAATAAGCATCCTGATGCTTTCAGTTTCTTTTCCCTTCTGCTGGTTTCCTTTAAAACCAGTGCTTAGAGAAAGGATATTTCCCACCTGAGAAGTTGTGAATCATATTTACAAATCTCCAATAACATATCTTAGAACTGCAGTCTGACAGGATGTGACTTGTCATTATAAATAACCATGAATTGCAAATAGAGAGTTAAGACCTCAGCATCAGGCACTGCCAAGGCTGGTAATATGAAATCATTAAAAAATCAAATTGTAAGTCCCTCATTTTAAAGTTCATCTTGAAACTTTGTTCCTTTCTTTCTAATACTTCTCATTTCTTTTCAAAATATCCTGAGCTTTTCAACTTTTTAATTTTATCTTCATTTCTTTATTTCCATTCCTTGTGTTATTGTGCAGTTTCTGTGGCATGCACAGATCTGGCATCCATTTCCACTGTGCCCTTTCAACTAAATCCCTTCTCTATGCTTTTAAGTTCTTAACTCAATTTTTTCTCCTTCATTCATACAGTGCAGGCTTGTTCTCCCTTGCCAACCTAGCCCCACCCTTAACCCCCCTCTCTATAACAAGTACTTGCAAATATATTTTTCAGCCATAGCTTCAGTACAGTAGACTTTTAGAAGTGTGTGTTTGTGGTGGTGGGGAATAAACTGTCTTTGCCTTTCCAAACTCTTGTCATGGAGAGATATTGTGTTCGGGGCGGGGGGTAGGGGGTTCTGCACATTGATATATAAAATTATTCAGACATGGAACAGTCCTGTGTTTAATGTTCAAACCTCTAGTTTCATAGGTAAAGCAAAACCTTGGAAAAAGTGTCTCTGGTGTTGCATGCTGCCTTCTGTGTTCTGTACTATTTTCTTTGCCCTTCTTATATGTACTTACGTTTCCCAATGGACCTTACTCCCCTCATTTGTAATGTGAATGATCTTACTGTTACGTCACAGTCCTGGGAGTCAAGAGCCTTGGATACTATTCCTGGCTCTGTCACTGATTTATTGTGTGACCTTGGGCAAGTCTCTGAACCATTGGTGTCTCAGTTTCCCTATCTGTCAAATGAGGATAATCTCGCATACCTTACATGGCTGTGAGGCTCAATTAATTAAAGTGTCCTGAGACTACGTGTGTGGAAAGTGCTATAGAAGTGTCAGGTTTCGTTGTCTTGGTGAAGATGAGTATTTATTGCTATTAAAGATTATTGCTAAAGACTGGAATAAAGGCATTGTGCAATGAAATGTTTTCAAGGCATATGGGAATGATTTGATTGTGACATTTTCTCTTTGAACAGCCCTTCTGCAACTGAATGCCACTGGCTAGAAAGCAACGCTAAGTCCACCGCTTCGCCCCAGCTCTCAGTGCTGGGGAACAGCAGGCCTACAGGAAATTACCTTGTGTCCTCAGAATTTTCAAGCCCCATCCAGGACGGCTCGCTCTTGTCCCATTTCCAGTCCCCAGGATTGCAAGTCATCTCTTTGAACAGCCAAGAGGATTCATCCTTAGGCCCGCAACAAGAACCTGCTGCCCATCCCAGTGCCCGGGCCTACCTGAACTATGGTGGGACCAGCGTAAGCAGTAGCCCACCACTGGAGGAGAAACAACCTGTTTTCATGGCCAATGCTAGCAGCTCTCCCAAAACTATGAGCTCACCACTGGCAAGTACAGCGGACAATGGCTTTTTGGCCCACAACTTGCTAACAATGGCCTCTGGACACAAAAGCCAGAGCAGCACAATTCAACAGCACCATGGAATGAACCTGCACCCACAGCCACCTCTTCCAGAGAAGAAGAGGACTTCTGAGGGAGACCGTTCTTTTGGCTCCATCTCTCCTTCTTCAAGTGGCTTCTCCAGCCCTCATAGTGGGAGCACGATCAGCATCCCATTCCCAAATGTCCTTCCAGACTTTTCAAAAGTTTTAAGCACTTCCCCTTTGCCAGGTAGGTTTTATGCCAGGATGTATTTATAATTAAACTGACACTTTTATATGAGCATGTGAGCAGGGTGGGATGTTAGATACTTTATAAAATAGTGGATGTTGAATAGTGAACTAAGCGAATGTTTGTAGTAAGAGGAGACACTTCACTGATTTTAGATGTATTGTTTCTAAAGCCAAAACTCCAGAGTGCTTTCTCTGAGCCTTTTTGGGTGTGTCAGTCAAATGCAGCCCTCTCTCTGCTGCCAGCCCACAAGTAAGTGTTGACTGGGCCAATTCCTCTTAATAATGGCTGGCTTTGTCCTGCATCCTTGCTAGGCTCATGGCAAGAATACTTTGAATGTGGCTGTTTATCATCTGGTCTGTGTTCAGACTTAGCCAGGCCTTACTGAGGAGCTAGATGTTTAATATAGCTTTATAACTCTGAGTTTTCATATTTTATAGCTTGTGAGAAATGGAACTCTAAAAGCACTAGTCAAAGTATCATGTGATGTATGTTTTATTTCTCAGAGCAGCTTCAGAACTCCCCCAGACTACTAGTTTAATTATGGGGTTCCTCTCCCCCCACCTCCTGTGGTTGAACTCTGAATTCCGAAATTAATCAGCACCTCACTGTCCGAGGTGAGAGCTAACAGCAGGAAATGCCCTTTGCAGTTATGGTGTATATTTATTTTTTTAATTTTCTTTTACCTTTATTTAACAGAAAACTCAAGCGATAAACACGTGACCGTAAAATTTGTCCAAGATACATCCAAGTTCTGGTACAAGCCAGATATTTCAAGAGAACAAGGTATACCAAATATCATCTGCTGCGGGGTGTTCAGCTGCAGAAGGGCTGTTCAGGAGCGCTCTGTATAAATTTCTGGTGTCTGGAGTCTAGATTTCTTACATACAAATATAAAAATAATTCTGGCCTTAGCAATAGAAGGATTTGAGGCCCTTAGGCAAAACACCCAGTTTAGTAGGAGGACTGAATTTGTAGGCTTGTTAAATAACCCTTGAGAAAGTGACAAAGAACTTTGGTTTTAGTTTGGGCCAGATCTTCAGCCCCTCTGGAATGACCCACAGGGGTCTTAATGGCAGCAGCTGAAGATTTTCCCTAGGGGAATTAAGGACTGGCATAGCCAGCCCCTCCAGTCTCTTCTCCCTGGCACTGGGGAACTTTCCAGGGCATGCTGGAGGAATGCAGAGGGGAGGAAAGCACAATGTGCTCTGGTGATCCTGGCTAAAGGGATCATTATTCACCAGTACAAGTTATCCTAAGCCCGCTCTAACTTGCACTGACAGAACAATTTCACCTCCAGGATTTGGAGAGGCAGGGCAAAAAGCTACCTACACCTATCATCTCCTCAGGTAACTGAGTGCTCATCTGGCATGGAGTCAGCCCTATGTCTTTTAAGTGTATGTGAATTTAATGCTAACAGTTCAGAGAACCGTATTGAGAACCAAGTATAATACAGAGCAAGCTTCTCCCATGCAGAGCTACCAAGATACCTCAGCCACTGCCTGCAACTGTTACAGTTGCTTTTATAGCTAGCTGCCAGTTGTCAATGGTTCCATACTTCCTATGCTCATTCCACAAGTTACAGTTTTTAGTGCCTTAACTGTATCTCTGCTTGTACAATGGGGATGGGAAATGGAAAGTATTTTTCCTGGGTATCAGCACGATAGGGACATCCAAAAAAATGATAAACTACCCAGAATAAGAAATTTCTCTGAAAGTTGGCAGTCTGGAATTCTGCAACTCCTGTCCCAGATGGCTGTTACCCGGGGTTCTTTCAACCCAAAGCTCTTGGTAACTTTTACTCTGTGCGAGGAGGTGTCAGGAAATAAATCAGGGGAGTCTTCCCGTACAGTGGCCTGTATTAATCCTTCACATCAATAAACTATAATCCTCTGGGGAGTAGTTATATAAAGATATATAATTTTTACATGCACATGTATTCCAAAAAAAACCCTCCACCTCACTTACGTCACTCTGAGACATAAGAACGGCCATACTGGGTCAGACCAATGGTCCATCTAGCCCAGTAGCCTGTCTTCTGATAGTGGCCAGTGCCAGATGCTTCAGAGGAAATGAACAGAAAAGGGCAATTATCAATTGATCCATCTCCTGTTGTCTGGTCACAGCATTTGGCAGTCAGAGGCTTCACCTGAGTACATATAGATGCAGCACCCAGAGGATTATGATTTAGTGATGTTTAAGATTAATATAGGTTGCCTCAGACTCTTGCTACAGAATTTCAGGCTGCAGAATTTTGGAGAAGTTTATAATTCTAACAGTTTATTATATATTTGGATGTCCCTGTGTTGTTGTTCCCCAAGGAAAACTCCATTTCCATTTTACAGGCACACCCAGAGTTAAGGCAATATAATAATACATATATTACATTCTCTCTTTCTCTCTTTGCAATAGCACTTACAGTGTGCTATGTGCTTTACAAAGAGCTGCTATATGAGAAGACAATCCGTGCATACATATAAGTAAATTGTAACATTCAATTAGTCTGAGTCCTGCTTAATGGAATATGACAGCTCTGTGACTGATCCAGATCAGACTGCATGTCAGATAGCAAAAATGAGGCTGTTGGAATCAGACATAATTTTTATAGTCAAAGTATAGTCTTCTCTGATTGGAAGGCCTTTAACATTGTCCCACTGAACCACAGTCAACATAGCCTTCAGCAGATGATGAATTGCATACTTTCTGAGACTGTGAGGTTGTTTGCAGCTTCTTACAGTGCAGGTAAAAGCACAATCACAGGGGAAAAGAAGGTAGTAAAAAACAGAAGATTTACACGTCTTGGGTTTAGGATTTACTAGTCTAGGACCCATTAGTGATTGAATGTTCAAAGAATGACTCTTGACTTGTTGAGCCCAAAGAGGAAAGGAATAAAACTAACAGGCTGCTGCTTGCACAAGTTAAAAATATGCTTCCCAACAGTTTAATATTCACTTTTGCCCATCCAATATAATCTCTCTTCCCCTTTTTAAAAATACCAACATTATGGGAGGCTGTGGGTGTGAGTGTTTCTTTTCCTTTGCCTGAGGGAGGAATCCTATGACAGATGGAAACTGTGATCTAGTATGTAGTTAGAAGGATTAGGCAAACACTCTCTTGAATTGCAATTTTGCATATTCACCACATTAGCCTCAACACATATTAGTACAGTAATCTATTCGTTTTCTCTCCTCCCCACCCACCTCCATGTTTACATCTTTTATAGATGAGCAGTACAGTAACTCCTCACTTAATGTTGTAGTTATGTTCCTGAAAAATGCGACTTTAAGCAAAACGATGTTAAGCGAATCCAATTTCCCCATAAGAATTAATGTAAATAGGGGAGGTTAGGGTCCAGGCAATTTTTTCCCCCCCCCAGACAAAAGGCATTATATACATTTTAAACAATTTTAAACAAGCAATTTAATACAGGTATTAAACAGGTTGGCAGCCCCCCTATCAGCTCCCCTATGCCCCCCACACCCACCCCCCGTGCCTCCTGCCTGCCAGCGGACCCTGCGGATCAGCACCTTTCCCCTGTTCCTGCCGCCTCCTGCCCACGGCAATCAGCTGTCTTGCAGCGTTCAGGAGGCTGGGGGGAGGAGCAAGGACGTGGCGTGCAGCCTCCCCCCTCCCTCCCTACCCCTCCATCCTAAACGCCACAAACCAGCTGATTGCCACAGGCAGGGGGAAGGCGCTGATCCATGGGGTCTGCCGGCGGGCCGGAGGCGCTGGGGTGGGGGGACGTAGGGGAGCTGATAGGGAGGCTGTCAGCCATGGACAAAGCAGGCGGCCAAACAACGTTATAGGGGAGCATCTGTAATGGAGCAGGGATGTAACATTGAAGCAACGTTAAGTGAGAGGACGTTAAGTGGGGAGTTACTGTACAAAATTCACATGAACTTGCAAACTGCTGCATTTGCTTATTCGTGCAGGAGTCTGAGTATTTATATTTGCAGTTCCATGGTTTGCCTGTGTAGTTATCCAGTGTGTGCAGGAAGTCACCTGTATATATGCAATTTCTGTGATTTAACATTTGTTCCAACCTTGGAAAATTTTATTGTGTTTAGAAAAGGCAGAAGGACCTTGCCATGTGCATACAAGACACGATGCACAATGTAAAGACTCCAAAATCAGAATCAGGCTCTCCCTGGGTTTTCTTTGCAGCATTGCTGAGTATTAGACATGCAGGAGACTGGTTAAAATTTAAGCAATGAGTGAAAAGAAACAGTCTGAAAAGTAGTCAGAACTCTGCAAAGGTATTGGGAGGAATCACACCATTCTGAACCCTGTTATATGACCCTGGACTTTGCCACAGTTATTCAAAGAAAAGTTAAGCCCTTGGCTTCCTGACCCTGGGCTACAGAGCACTTTGATTCAAAGGCATGCAGCAACCTCTCTGGAAGCCAGTCTTGCTATGTATACTCCAACTCACAGTCCCCAGGCAAAGATCACAGAACAAAAAGTATTCCAATTCTCAGAATCTCAAAATGCAAGTATATGCCTACTTACACCTCCTTCCCTGCTTAAAATGAGAGAAGAGGGAGAGAATACCTGTAGTGTACCTTGCAATGCCTTGGCACTGTGTGCCACTCGGCTGTCTTGTTGGTGGAGGATGACAAATGTGTGCTTGTTGTTGGGGCTGTGTAGAAGAGAAAGCAGCATTTTCTAGTCACGCTGACTATTGTGGCCATACTCCCAGTTACACTTTTTAACGAGCAAACAAAATAGCTTCAGGAATCAACTTTTCCTCTTTGCCTAAAATCACATGCATGCTGGGACAGAGCGTTGGAGAAGGAAAGTGCTGGCTCTTCTCTGATTGCAGGGAATTGTGAGCATGTTAGTGCATGTTCAGGCCAGGTACAGTGTTTGCCAATTTGCCAGCCACTGTTTGCTGAGTTGTCTCCGAATTGGTCTCTCAAAGGCAGAAAGAGAAGATGGTTCTGTCTCTTAAAGGATGTTTTCCTGTAAAGCCTTTACCATTTTTGCGAATAGTATTAATAGTAACATACTCCATATCAGGGCTTGAAATCAATGTTGCCAGCCTGAGAGTGTGCCCCACCCCAAAAAAGAGATCTGCAGTTTTGATTCTGCCTGGTCTCTACTACATAATATTTGTCTGTCTCACATGTATATTATGGGGATTAGTTAATTAATGTGTGTACAGTGCTTTGAACATGTAAAACACTGTGGGTGAGATTGTGAGCCCTTTAGGCTACACATATAGTAAGGTACTATTCAGTATGAGCAAGAGGTTCACAATCTGGTGCTATCTGCGCATTGTATAGATACCAAAATCATATCCAGAGTTAAGATCCAAAGTTTTGATTCTGTTCCAAGGCAGTGGGGAGGGAGACAAAAGAACCTGGCATTCTTTACTAGTGCTTTAAATGAGGATTTGGAACAGTACCTTTGTGTTTATTACTTGGACTGAAACACTTTTCTCAATCTCTCTCTGAATCCTTTGCAGCCATTGCCGTTCTGAAGGACAAGGAACCAGGGTCATTCATTGTTCGAGACAGCCATTCTTTCAGGGGAGCCTATGGCCTGGCAATGAAAGTTGCTACACCTCCTCCTTCAGTGCTGCAGTTAAACAAGAAAGGTACTGTATGACTCCCATCTTCACTTTCATAGAATCATAGAATATCAGGGTTGGAAGGGACCTCAGGTGGTCATCTAGTCCAATCCCCTGCTCAAAGTAGGACCAATTCCCAACTAAATCACTTTGTTGCATAGAGTGTGCAAGACCTAACTACTATATAGAATTCAGAGAAATCCTCCCTTTTCCATAATTAAAATGTCAAGAGGTGCAATTCTGAGTCAATCAAATCGGAAGTCTCAATTTGGATTCCTTACAGTGTGAATAAGAATCTCTCCAAGTGGGATTGTGGAACGTTTGTGTCGTGCTTGCTAGTTTCATACACAGGTTGGTAATTATATACACAGCTTGGATGCGCATGTACTGTACAATGTTGGCGTGGGGCAGTGGGACCCAACTCCGCTCACCTCGAACTGCTGTTTGAAAGGCGTGCATGGGGAGGTCCTGTCGAAAGGAAAGGTCTTGAGGATCTTTGTGTAACCTGGTGCACTATTAAGACTGAAGCGGAAAGAGGAGCCAATTTTAAATAGGTGCATAGATCATATCTGTATTTAAGGAGCCATTAGGTTACTATCAGTGTTGCTTAAGGTGCTGGTATTGTTTTGAATGAGAGAACCAAGACACAGAGACGTAAGCAATTTCATTAATTCAAGCGCTGTCTGATCAATATTTTAGACCTACAACCAGTAGGATGATTTAGTTGGGGATTGGCCCTGCTTTGAGCAGGGGGTTGGACTAGATGACCTCCTGAGGTCCCTTCCAACCCTGATATTCTATGATTCTATGATTCTAACAGGAATCCAGCACCAACTCACTATCTGAGCCTCCTCAGTTATTAGAAGTCTGGTTTTGATCTAAGGCTCAGTATGATGCCAAATACCACCATGCACAACTTTTGCCTTGATGGAAGACGGAACTTTTTTGGCCTGGGAATTTGTTTTGAGAGAACAGTACATCAGAAACAAATCTGAGAAAAATTAGCGTAGCTAAACAAGAAGCAGTGTGGCAGATGTGTTCCCTCAGGCTCCTGTGCTGTAACATATAACTTATATCTGTCTGTCCTGAAGGGGAAAATGAAAAGAGCATATGGAACGCATTAGGCAGCTTATGGAAACTCAGGAGGCAGTGTCTAAGACGTGTTCTTGGCTCTGATCATGCCTACTGACCTCCTTGCTGCTACTTTTGTCTTTCAGAACCCTTTGTATCTATTGGTAAATGTTGCCCAATGAGGAAAAGAACTGCAGGAAATTAGATTGACTGAAAAACAGCAGCTGTTAATGTCTGTTTGGAGCATTTCTGTCCTTTGTTCCTTCTTCCAATTATTGCAAGTGCACTTTTGGTCTGGCGCTTGGATTTCATTATTCCAAATTTAAAAGGAGCATAGGAACATAGGAATTGCCTCACTGGATCAGACCGAAGGCCAGTATAGTTCAATATCCTGCCTCTGATAATGCCAGTACCAGATGCTTCAGAGCAAGGTATAAGAACCCTGGAATAGACAGATGTGGGATAATCTGTCCCCCACATTCATGCTGATCTTTAATAATTAGAGATTGGCACATATCCTGAAATATGAGGTTTAATCATAGAATCATAGAATATCAGGGTTGGAAGGGACCTCAGGAGGTCATCTAGTCCAACCCCCTGCTCAGAGCAGGGCCAATCCCCAGACAGATTTTTGCCTCAAATCCCTAAATGGCCCCCTCAAGGATTGAACTCACAACCCTGGGTTTAGCAGACCAATGCTCAGACCACTGAGCTATCCCTCCCCCATACTTTCCAAAATTTTATTTATTCATACTTAATACACTTTCCAAAATTTTATCATTAATATAACTCTGATAAACATATTTTAAAAATCCCTTTTAAAAAAAATCTTTCTAAGTTCTTGGCCTCAACAGCTTCCTGTGGCAATGAGTCTAATTACATGATGGGTAAAATTTATTTCCTTTTATAAGTTTTGGATTTGCCACATTTTAATTTAATTCAAAGTCGCCTTCTTCTTGTGTTTGAGTCAGGAAGAACAGTAGTTCCTGATCTACCTTCTCAATACTCTTTAGTATTTTATTCACTTCCATAACGTCACCACTTATTCATCTTGTTGCTAAAAGAAACAATCCCAATCTTTTCAGTTTCTCTTCCTAGTAATTTTTTCCAGGCCTCTGATCATTCTCATTACCCTTCTGTAGTATCTGTGAGATGGGATAATCAGGACTGCACATAATGTTCCAGATGAGGTCGCACCATTGATTTATATAGTAACATTATAACATTCTCCGTATTATTCTCTATTCCATTTCTTATGTATCCTAACATCTTGTTTGCTTTGGTGACCACACTGAGCTGCACACTGAGTTGTGGTTTCCATTGTCTACAGTGACACCTAGGTCCCTTTCTTGAGTTGATACAGTTACTTTAGAACCCTGTAAGCCATATGGAATTTCCCTCCAATTTACACTACTTTCTATTTATTGACATTGAACTCCATTTACCACCATGTTCCCTGTTCACCTAGCTTATTTAGGTCTCTCCAGAGTTCCTCAAAGTCCTCTCCAATTCTGACTAACCTAAATAACCTTGTGTCATGTTACCAGAGTTGCCCATTACTTTGGGGTATGCTCATTTATTCGGGTTACTCTTTTGGGGAAGGGGATTCTGTAATTCTGTCAATGTACTGTTTGTGTCACTTGTGTTTTCATATGGAGCTCTACTTCTCCCTGCTGCAAGTCCCCTCCCAATGGAGCTATCCTGCAGGATCTAGGTTCCCTAGGGCTGAGTTTCTTCAGCCCCCAAACCGGATGAACACACCCACACATACATTAACAGAGCAAGTCTGAGCGGACCGGGTCAATCAGCACTGTCAAGCTGACCCCTTATATGTCTCTGGACTCACTGGGCTGGATGAAGCAGCACTTTCAAGCTGACTCTCCTTATATGCCCCTGGGCTCCATGAACTGGGTCAAGCAGCACTTTCAAGCTGTTACCCTTATGCGTCCCAGATTCAGCCCGTCCCTATCCCCACTCTCACAACACAATTGTACTGGCAGTAACCTACTTGATGAGCAAACCCCACAGTATTTTGGGCGCTGCAGGGATCTTTAGCTTAGGTAAAAGAAGTGTTGCTGTAGAGTGAATGGGGGAAGCTAAAAACGCAAAAGAGTAAAGTTCAGCAAGAGAGAGAGAAACAACCAACTTAACCATAAAAGTTATTTATTGAATAATAGTGATAACTACACAAGGAGAGCTAAACCAACATAACATAAATGATTAAAGGTTAATACCTAAGGTAGAAAGGAAAACAGAGAGAGAGAAAGAGGAGGGGTCTCACCCACTCCATGAGGCTTGAACTGGTCGGGGTTCCCAGGTGATGGTGGTAGCGGAGGGTCCTGAATGCTGGAGACAGGCAGAGCCCCCAGCACGATCAATCAGGAGAAGATGGAGTTCGAGTGGAACTGATGCATAGTTTGGATCTAAGCATCAGAACCCTGACTAGAGGGTGAGTAGGGATTTTTGTAGAGAAAATACAATTGTTCAAGGGAGAACAATAGATTTGTTTATAGGTAAGCTGATGATACGGGTTTTCTTTAGACTAGACAATAAGAGCTGATCACTCTTGGCTATGGGTGGTGTTTTCTTCCAGGGAGCTCACAATGCAACTAGGCTGCTTCAGTATTTGGATATCAATTAAGGATTCATTACTAGAATTGGTCTGATAATTGCTGAGCTGGGTGTGTGCAGACATAGGTTCATTAGCATCTGGAGCAGAGATTCCCATGATGCAGTGCTTCCCTGCTTTTTCTGGTCCCAGAATTCAGTGTGGTTCTCTGTTCTCCATTCTGTATGTAAATTGAGATGTCTTCCTGTCCCATCTTTCATGCAGATGAGGCTAGGGGAGTTGTCTCTGCTCTCCGTTCTGTATGCTAATGGAGATGTCTTAATCTTGTCACCCTTGTCAGGAGGGGTCTAGGTGTGTCTCCCAATGCCCTTCACTGCTCTGTGCAAGTTTTTTTTTTCTCTGATGGGTTTTGGTTTAAACAGAGGCGGCGGGGGAGGGGCGGGTGTCTTTCATAAATCAGGCTGGATACTGCACCCTGGTTCCCCAAGAACACAGAGGTGTCTGGTATCAGTCGTCTGAAACCTCACTACTGCTCCTACCTTCCTAGATCTTTAATAAATATGTGAAACAATACAAGACTTAGTACAGAACCTTGAGGCACCCCCTGCTGTTAACCTTTTGCCTTGAGGAAAATTTACCATTTATTCCTCTTTGTTTTCTGTCACCTAACAACAGCTTAACAGCCACATTGGTCTTGTCTGTGCTAGACAGTGAAGCTCCACTGGTGATCGCAAAACTGAGAACTCTAATGAAGGCTGGCTGTGGGTATTTTAACCACCATGTTGCCTAATTTGAGCCTGAGAAGGCCTACATGACATGGTAGTTCAAGTACCAGTGGCCACTGGCAACCTGTCTACCCTAGCTAAGTTGCTAACACTGGTTGAGCTGCACCAATGGTAGCAATAGTGGGAAACTTTAAAAAGCCTATTGTAGACAGAACCAATGGGTCTGTCTCCTGCTCTTACATAAACTGGATAAATCATGCTGTAAAAAGCGGGGAGATGGCCAGCAACTTCTGTACCACTGGCTCTAAGTTTTCCAACCGGTCTAATTCCCACCAGCCCTTCCCAGAGAGCAGAAATTTGTCTTCCCCGCACCATCTTTTCTTTTGGCATTGTGGCATCATAAAGCATCCAAATTTTCTCCTGTAAGCAGTTCTTCAAGGGCCAATTTTGGCTCTTGAACTGTTTCTGCTATAGAAACCAATGAATTCATTTATGCTGGCTTGAACATCGTCAATGAAATGTGGTCGCCGGATGTCATGTGTCTCCTGGTCTGTGACTGATAAGATCAGAGACAAGGGGAATATTTATAATCTTTTTTTGATATTGGAGTCCATCTGTTATGGGGCCACTTTGCCCCATCACCATACAATGACCCTTTCATTGCCAATGTGTAGCACCAAATGTATATGTTCACTACTGCCAACCCCAAGCTTTGAAAAGTCATGAATCAGGACCCCAAAATCATGAGTTTGGCTTAAAATTAATGAGATTTTTAAGGGTAACTCTTGGGTCTTTTTGATTTGCCTCCAGGATTTTGAGTATTTAGGTTACAGTTTCAAGCTTTTCTCTGCAACCATGATGGATAGAAACTTCCTTTTTCTAAATGAAAACCAAGATTCTCATCTAATCTTGTCTCCATGAAGTAGGGCGTTAATTAAAATATCAACTATCATGAGATTCATGATAAAATCATGAGAGTTGGCACACTGTAAATCTTTTACTCTAATATTTTAATCTGAGTACAGACCTGGCCTACTACTAGTTTTATATCTATGTCAACAGTGTGTGTGTGTTTGTTTTGTTTTCCTCATTGTAACCCAGTTGCCGGCTCTTGTCATTAGTGAATACGTCAGAATTTCTGACCTTGTTTCTTCCATATTTCCTTTTCATAGCTGCTATTGATTTTTTGTCTTGACTTGATTTCCAGCTCCACCTATTTCTTCCCTTACTTTCGGGAGAAAAAGAAACAACCAGCTAGGTTTTTCTTTGACCTACTGGTTCCTATAAAATGTTAAGACACATCCTGGAGGTTTTGGACACTGGTACCCATCTAGGTGTCAACTAGAGGCAGAGCTGATACAGGCCGGAAGTGATTATCTGTAGATAACGTGCTATACGGTGCCTGTTTCATTGCGGATGGTGACACAGCAGTAGGATAACTAGTGCACTGTCTGAATGCTATGTATAGAGCATTCACTTATTCTAAGGAAGGCAGATATCATAAACACCTTCTAATTTGTGACCCCCCCCCATCTCTTATTCATTGGCTTACTTCATGTGTTTGTTTTCCTTTTTTCCACAGTTGGGGATTTGTCAAATGAGCTTGTCAGGCATTTTCTGATTGAATGCACCCATAAGGGAGTGCGATTGAAAGGATGTCCCAACGAGCCATATTTTGGTAAGTGCCGTACATCAACAGGACATGAAAAATGAGGATATTTTGCATACAGCCAGACTGCTTCATAGCGTAGAATGGAATGGAAGATGAGAGGAAATGTCACACAAAGATTTTGAGATGGTTTCTGCAGAAACCTATTCTAGTATTGTCATGATAATGGCCTTCTATATCAATCTATATAATCTATATCAATCTATATAAGCTACATCCGGCCTGTGGGACCCTCCTGCCCGGCCCCTGAACTCCTGGGCAGGGACGCTAGCCTCCGGCCCCATTCCTGCTGTTCCCCCTCCCCGCAGCCTCAGCTCACTGCGCCGCCGGCGTAATGCTCTGGGCGGCGGGGCTGCAGAGCCGTGGCCTGACCTGGTGCTCTGTGCTGCGCGGTGGCATGGCTGGCTCCAGCCGGGCGGCACGGCTGCCTGTCCTGGTGCTCTGGGCGGCGTTGCTGTAGTGTCACCAGCCACCGGTGCTCCAGGCAGCGCGGTAAGGGGGCAGGGAGCAGGGGGTGTGGATAGGGGTCGGGGCGATCAGAGGGCAGGGAAGGGGGGTGTGGAGGGGGGGCAGGGGTCCGGGGGGGGGGCAGTCAGGAAGGAGAGGAGGGGTTGAATGGGGGCAGCGAGGGTTCCGGAGGCGGTCAGAGGACAGGGAGGGATGGATGGGGGGCCATCAGGGGACAGGGAATAGGGGGGGTTGGCTGGGGCAGGAGTTCCGGGGGGGCTGTGAGGGGGCGAGAAGCAGGGGGGTCAGATAGGGGGCGGGGGCCGGGCCACGCCTGGCTGTTTGGGGAAGCACAGCCTCCCCTAACTGGCCCTCCATACAATTTCAGAAACCCGATGTGGCCCTCAGGCCAAAAAGTGTTCCCGCCCCTGAACTAGAGCATTGTAATGTGATGGAAGCACATCGCTTCTGTTGGACTGTCCTTTAGATGTAGTAATTGCAGCTTCTCTTTGAAGTAAAGATGACCCCAAAGCAAAAAAAAAAAAAAAAAAGGGATTTGAAATTTGTCACTGTTTGGGGTGGGAGGTATTTCAAACCTAAGGTTTTAGTTCAGTCCTGCCTCTAACCTGAAGCATTTATCCAAGGTACTTGTATGGCCCACTACCATAATATCTGAGCACCTCACAATCATGTAATTGATTTATCCTCACAACACCCCAGTCAGATAGATAAGTCCTATCACCTCCATTTTAAAGATCGGGAACTGAGGCACAGAAAGACTAGTTTCTTTTTGACTTGCAATAGGACTTTGGTCCAATGTTCCCTCTAATTTTTTCCTTCCATGTGCAGAATTAATTTTGTTATGTGCACCAATATTGAGGTAATGTGCGTCTGTGTGCCACCAGTAGAAACAAAAACCTAGATATAATGTATATATTTTTAAAAGTTACCATAGGGATAATTACTCCAGCCAGGATAAGTTAGGCATTTTAGAACTCACTACTCAAAGAATTAAATTTAAGAATAACAGAGAAATCAAATTATGAAATGTATAGACCAGTCAAAAAACTAAAATAACAGCACTCTGAAAGAATAAAATTACAGAGAATATATGTGCATTGCAAGAAGTACCAAGAAGTAACAACAATAACACAAGTATGTGTTGGGAGGTGTGTGTGTGTGAGTGTGAGAAAGAGAGTGTTTGTGTGTGTGCTGGCTACTGGGGAAGTGTATGAGAGACCGTGCGTTGTCTCTTTAAGCACAGTGGCACTCATAAGTCTGAAGGCTCGTGAACAGCCACAGCCGCTAGCAGCTCCGTCTAACTCCCAAGCCCTATCCCTCCTCCCCCGCTCTGCAGAGATGGGCTACATGGCGGGAGGGCAGGGGCGGCTCCAGGCACCAGCGCAGCAAGCGCGTGCCTGGGGCGGCAAGCCGCAGGGGGCGGCAGTCAGGCAGCCTTCGGCGGCATGCCTGCAGGAGGTTCGCTGGTCCCGCAGCTTTGGCAGCAATTCGGCGGCGGGGTATGCCGAAGGTGCGGGACCGGCAGATCACCCGCAGAAACGCTGCTGAATCCACGTGACCAGTGGACCGCCCGCAGGCGTGCCACCGAAGGCCGCCTGACTGCCGTGCTTGGGGCGGCAAAAAACATAGAGCCGTCTCTGGGGGAGGGGAACACCCCAACATCAACTTCCTTCCCCCACCAACGCCTCCCCACTCTGCACAGCAAGCAGGAGGGTCCCGCGAGCAACTGGCCAGAGGCTTCAAGGCAGAGGGCAGGAGCAGCAGCGGCGGGAGGGGCACCTCAGCACAAGTTGCCGGATGTACGCGGTTCTACTAATCAAGTGTGCAGCACTTGACTGACTCTTGCGCAGTTGCACAGATTAGAGGGAACACTGCTTGGGTCCTAAATCACTTAAGTAATTATGAAAATTTTACTTTAACTGACTTTCTCGACATCAGTCAGGAAGTCTGTGCTAAGGCAAGGAATTGAACCCAGATTTCCCAAGTCCCTGGCTAAAGACCTAGCCACTGGACTATCCATCTACAGTACTCCTCTTATTTACTAAATAATGTGGCAGTTTATGTTAGTGTTTTACATAGGCTGTGTTGTAGCATCGTTACCTTCATTCGGTATTTCTCCCATCAGAATCTACACTGCAGAAGTGTTATGTGTTAACAAGGAACATCACTATTCAGGCTGCACTGGTATCTCAGCACAGTCTGGCACCTATTGACCTGTACTAATGCATGTATACTTTGTTGTAAATTTCTTGGCTTTGATTATGTTGATAGACAAGTATCATCTGCCAGCAACCAACCCAAGTAGCCAGGTCAGGCACTAGACTGATGATTTGGGGCCTGAATTGCGAGGAATCTTCCCTGCCCGAGCTGTGGAGTGGTTACATGTCTATATAGCTACTTCACAGACTACTCTTGCTGCCCTTACAAGGTGCTACTCATAATGGGGATACTTCACAATAGGGGAATCCTCATTCCCATCTCCAAGTTCACCTGTGATGCCACCCCCCCTTCTGCATCCAGCCATTCCCTGCCCCCCTCCATGGCCACAGAGGGCTCATTAGGACCCAGATCTCTGAGCTGTTGGGCACCATCAACTCCCAGTGATATCAACAGGAAAGGAAGGTGCTCAGCAATTGTAAGATTGGGCCCTGGGCTCTGATTTTTACAGCAGTTGTTGGTAGTCTATAGAAAATAATAATAATAAAAAAAAACAGTCTAATTTTCTCCAGAACTGAAATATGGTTGGGTTATTTGTTAATATTTTTCAGTGTCTGGAATTAAAGGCAACTTCCTTTTGCACTAATAGACTGGCCAATCACCCCTCCAAATATAGAGTGTAAAATGTGCATTGACATTTTAATGGGAACAGAAGGTCCAGATCCCTTAGGTGGAACTGAAAATCTCAGCCTTGCTATATAGTTACAGCAAATGGTGTCTCAGGGCACTAATTAGAAGGAGGCATGATTTAACCTGGGATACTATGCAGATGGCCTCACCTCGGGAGGTGGAAAATTCCTCTAGCTGTTCTTTTTACCATTAAAACACAAATTGACTTGACTGCCTAGTGGTTAAAGCAAGGGACCAGAAGTTAGGACTCTTGAGTTATTTTCCCAGCTTTTCCACTGCCTCACAGTGTGACGTTGGGCAGATTGCTTAGCTTGTCTGTTCTTACCTGCCTCTTATGAGGATTGAGACTTAATAAGGTAATATTTGTAAAGCACATTATCATTGTCATCTTTCTCTTTAAAGTAAATTAGTATTTAATAAGATTCGGGGCGGGGGGGGGGACTGCAGTTCATGTAAAAGGAGTTAGACACAAGAAATGATGAGAAGATGGATCTTTTAAAAATTACCAAAAAAGGTAGTTGTTAAAGTGTCTTAGTAGCGAAGGGGAAAAAATGTTTTTAAGGGTTTTCTTTAGCCTGTAAACTATTGAAAAGCAAACATACCTCGTAAGCATTCTTTTTGTGCACAAAAAGTAATCTTGCCTGTCTTGTTGTTCTTTTAACCACAGGGAGTTTGACAGCTTTGGTGTATCAACATTCTATTACTCCTCTGGCATTACCCTGCAAACTACTCATCCCAGACAGAGGTATGCTAGTCAAAATACAAAATAAAAGTGATACACAACCAGGGATCCACTTCAAAATAGCTATATCTGAAGGCAGGTGAACATGTCAGGGTAAAGTTCTGAACAAGAATGCATAGGAAAGAATGTCAGACAGTTGCCAAGCAACTTTTGTCCAAGCTGCAGTTCAGAACTGATTAGTACTGTGATGCCCCAGTAATAAACATATATAACTCATGGTGATTAGCACTGTAATCCAATATTTTTAAAAAAAAATTATTTTGTAGATTTGACATCACACCCAGGTATAGTTAGATTCAACCAATCTTTACCCAAGCATAGATAGCAAGAATTCTGTAAGGGGGAAAAGTAGGATTGAAAAAAAGCAGATACTTTTAGGGTGTAGTTGAGGGAAAGAAACAGCAGTTTATGCAGGTCTAAATATTGCAATAAATAAATATTAAAGAGCACATGGATTATGGGACTATAATTCTGTTTTGGGTTGTGGTGACTCCATAAACTTCTCTAACACATCAACAAAAAAGCTTATGTGTATTTTTGGCCCATAATTCAGTTGTCTGTTTATTCTCCCCTATAAAGCAAACACCAGATGTATTACTGAACTGTTAAACATTCTTGCGGTTTTCCATTGAACTCTTAAACTTTTCTACTCCTAAATGCTGTATGTCTGTACTCTAACATAGCATTCGAAATATGTAAATCCATGAAATATCTTAATGGAGACATTGAAGCACAATATCATACCGTGGAAGAATGTGGATCAGAGATCTGTCTTTAGATATATGGATAGAAAAACCACTGTGATGGGTGCGCTCGCGCCACCTTTCCTTATCAGATAAAATGGGAAGTTCCTTTGGTTCTAGCAGAAAGTTCAGGGTTGAAACATTTGTCTTTTTGCCCTGGACGAACCTACTGAAATGAATGGATCTAGTCTGATACAATCAAGCCTTTTAATGTAAAGATGGAGTTAAAGCATGAACTGTCTGTGGTTTCTTATTCTGGTCCTGATTCATACAGCACTAAACATGTACTTAACTGTGAGCTTGTGAGTAGTCCGATGGTGGTAAGCAGTGAATCAGGGCCTCTGTTTTTCTTGATCATACTGAAAGAGAAACCATGTCGTACCCACATATAGCCCGAAATATAGGTTCTATACAAACTTTTACAAAAAATCAAAATGTGTCTGAGTTTTTTTTTTTTTTTAATTATAGCGGAAAGATTCCAAAACAAACCTTCCAGTGCTGTATTTACAGCCTACACATGGCACCGTTTGGTGGTGCCACGAGTACCTGCAAATGTAATTCAGAAGCTGACGCAAGAAAAATGAAATTGACTAGATTAATTTCACTGATCAAGTTGCAATGTGTTATGCTAAAGTGATTAGTAGAAATGATAGTTCTTTAAATTAATTTTAAAATTATAGGAGGATTTTTTGTAACATGAGTGAGGAAATAGGTTAATTAAAAAAGCATTTTGACACGATGATGTCTCTTTCAGCAGTAATACATAACTATCTGTGGTTAGCACAAAACCACAGGGTTATAAGTGCTCTGCTTCTAGCACCCAAAAAAGTTGTACAGCATAGTAATCACGCATCATGGATGGTATTGTGGATTGCAGGATTTTTTAATGTTTCTGATGAAGAATCGTCCGGTATATGAGGTCATAATTTCAAGACCTCGACTCCTATTTGAGATTGACCTCTCAATCCAAGTCACAATAAAAATGTGTGTGGTGGTTCATATTTGCAGATCCCTTGGAGGAGATCGCAGAAACAGCTCCACAGACTGCTGCAAACTCGGCAGCAGAGCTCCTAAAGCAGGGTGCAGGTTAGTACATTCCTCTTCCATTTGATGAAATTACAGTTGTTACCAAATGTACATTACAAGCAGGAGAAAAAAAACAAAACAAAACAGGAGGCTGAGGATGAAAAAAGGAATTGGGTAAATTAAACTGCAATTGAGAAGTATGTAATGTACCGGATCTGTGCATGTGAGTGAGGGTGCAATGTTGCCCTCTAGAGCCTGGCCCACAGAGTGAAGGCTGTGCTATTACTGCCAGTGAAGTGATGGAGACCTGTGTTGAAGGACCAGGTTTTTAGTCCTGTGTCGTGTTTGTGCATGTGTCTGCAGCACATAGATTTGTAAAATTAGTAGCCAAACCTAAAAATGCTCATTCTTCACCAGAGACAATATGATTCAAAGAAATGAAGTATCTGATTCCTTGGTCCTCCTGTTTTATTGTTAAGGGCCCTTTTTCTTCGCTGTGATGCAGCAGCTCCCTGCCACTCTAACAAAATAAAACCACCTCTTAGTGTCAGCTTAGGTGACCGAGAGGATTCCTTAGCATGCAGCAGTCCCTGGATGCATAGAGCTGCCATAGAGACTCACTGCACTACCCCACCCTCTCAGCCCCAAGTGCAGTGGCCATGCTCTGGGGAAAGGAACCAGATCACTCCTACATCTCAGTGACCCCTGGCTGCCAGAATGGCCTTCAGGCTGCTCTAAGTTGCCCAACAATCAAGGGAGGCGGTGCTATATTTGCCATCACCTCCCTGACCTGCATCAGACGAAGAAGCCACAGACCAAAAGATCTTGACCAAGTGTTTTTTAGTCTTCGGCTGTCAGAGTGCTGTATAGTTGCTCTGATACGTTATAGAGCATTTAGCAAAGGGCAGTGCTATTCCAAGCAGCTATGGAGTGAGAGTGTTGTCCTGTGATTATGCAGCTATCTGTTTCGTTTTGACTTTTAAAAGTGAAGTGGCACTTTAAATGATATAATTGAGCAGGAATGTGTGGCTGAGGCAATGGTCAGTCTTGGCTAGGCTGTGCTGGAAGCAAGCACACATTGGCATTTCTGTTTACCATTACCACTGCAGCGGGTGTGGTGGCCACTAGACTTGGAGCCAAGGAGGAGGAATTTAAGAGGAAAAGTTCTATAAATAGATTCAGCATAATAGGCACACATTTCCTCTTGAGGTCTAGCTGGGTTCTCATTATCCAGGACATGTAACCTTCCTAGGGAAAAAGAAATAATAGCTGGGTTTTTTTATTCATCTGGGGACTAGTTGTTAGGCAGCTCCATCTGGGGAATGTCACATCAAAGATAATTTGACTGAATGGAAATTTAATAACCATCTTGGTATACCTAATTTTGAAACAGGGGCTTAGGACTTGAATAGGGAAGTTGGAAGGGACATGATGTTTTTGCCCTACCACTTGGAGTGTCTTGTCCCGGAGTTGATTCACTTCACATTGACTTTGTTTAGTTCAAACATTTTTCTCTCCTATCACACAAACATTCTCAATATGGAGTTCAGCATGAAAGCCCAGACTCTAAACAGATACTCAAGCAACCAAGCTTTTATTTAAACAACTATGGTTTGATTAAAGCAGATGCGATCCCCGACTACTGCCCTAACCCAAACCAAACAAAAATGCGTGCTTCTAGGTTAACCATTTCTACAGCTAAATGAGAAGAGCGATGCCGTCCGTTATCCCAGTACAGAATCTAAGTGCCAAATCTTTTGCTTCTCAAATAGTTTTGAGGCTTCCATCATGTGCCTGCTGTATCTCATTATCTCCACTGGGGGGCAGGCCCTGTGGCAGTGCAGATATGAGAATAGGGAACCCCCAAAAGTCTGGAGGTCTGGAATCTATAGAAGCCACTTACAAAGATCTCTGGCTTTCCCCATGGGCAGCTCCTTATTCCATTAGCCTTCCAGCCTTCCCCTGTGCTTGGTAGCACTGTCTTGTGCTCTGCATGTTTCCCAATCTACATGCATTTTTCTTCCAAAGTATATTACAACCATTGTGGGAATGTCCATTCCAAATGGCACTGAATGACCATACCAGGAGTAGCATAAATTACAATAAAGTTCAAGAATGTGCCGTACTGAGTAGCTCTCTTCCCCAGCTCGAATAGATGCGACTCCAAAGTAGCAGCTATAGAATGTAGAGAGGACAACTACATTGTAGGGAGAATGCTATCACATAACCATCTGTTTTTTCAGCTTGCTCCCAACACAGTTTCTATGGGATTACTACCATTGATACCCCTTTGTGCCACATATCAGATAAGAGCACATATTATGCACCAAAATTAGGGATTCCTTCCAGTCTGTTCCCACAAAAAGCTGTATTAATCATAAGGATACACCACTATCTTTAATTTGACATTCCTTTTGGTGCTTCCCAAAATGTCTAGGAAGTGGATGATATATTATTTATTCTGTCTAGAGAAAGTAAATGAGGACAGACTTTAGAGCAATGCAGTAAAATCCCATTGGAGACTTATCCAGAGCAAAAAGGTTAGCTGTTTTGTTTAGGAACAAAAGCATATGAGGCTGTTGGCACCAATGGAATGTCTGCTGCAAAAGAAAGGGAATCTCTCCATGTGAACATCACAAGTGATTAGAAATGTGACCGTGAATCCAGGCTAGTTTCCTGTGAGGAAAAGCTCTCGATTGGTTCAAATCTAGTTTTGCAACATGTAGAGTAATTATGTGAAAGATAGAGGGTTCGTAACTTGGAGTGGTATTTAGAATTCTGGAAAGATAAATTATAGAGAGGAATTCATTAATTAATGTTCCTTCAAACTCTCCCTCCCTCGTTTCCCTGAAATTTCTCTTTCAATGAAGTGATTTATAATTAATTCAAACAAAGGTGATTGAGGCTAAAGCAGCAATATGTTTTACAATTTTTTTTATTTGTGATAAGAAAATTTGTTTGTTTCTGGCTGTCAGAAGTTGAACCAAGTGGAATTTAAATTCAGATAATTGGCTCACATCACTGTATTTTCTCATCCTTTTCATCTTTTAATTTGGAATGTCCACCTTTGGGCCAAATTCTTCATTAACTTACATCCCAAGTTAAAGTGAGTGGGTTGCAAATATGCAGAAAATTTGCTTGATAGTCTTGCTGGAATCACAAGCTTGTTCAGTTTATATAAAAACAGTTTGTAGTTTGAAAGAGCCATGTATTCTCAGTGGAAAATATGTAGAAGACTTTGCCTGAATTACAGGGCAGTAGTATGAAAAGAGAAGTTGTTGGATATAATTTATTTTTTTGCTCTCCTAATCTTGTAGGTATGGTATGACATTTGAATTTTCAGTAGTGTTTAATCCATACTACTCAACACGTGTTAACTAACTTTAAATTCTAGCATGGACAGCTGCACAATGTTTGTGTCAGGACACAAATTTTGTTAGTATTTGTGTGAAACCAGCACTGATTGCACTGAAGAGTAGGACTAAACATGCTTTACGGTTCCAGAAAGTTTCTTACGTGGTTGTAAGAAATTATTCTGGATTATCTAATCCTTTGTCTCTTAGGTCCCGATTCAGCAAGGTACTTAAGCATGCGCCTAACTTTAAGCATGTGTGTACAGTAGAATCTCAAAGTTACAAACATCAGAACGGCCATACTGGGTCAGACCAAAGGTCCATCTAGTCCAGTATCCTGTCTTCTGACAGTGGCCAATGCCAGGTGCCCCAGAGGAAATGAACAGAGCAGGTAATCATCAAGTGATCGAACATCTCCTGTGGCCTTTCCCAGCTTCTGGCAAACAGAGGCTAGGGACACCATCCCTGCCCATCCTGGCTAATAGCCATTGATGGACCAATTCTCCATGAATTTATCTAGTTCTTTTTTGACCCCTGTTATAATCTTGGCCTTCACAACATCAGAGTTACTGATCAGTCAACCACACACCTCATTTGGGATCAGAAGTACACGATCAGGCAGCCACAGGGGTGGGGGGTGGGGGCAGCAAATACAGTATAGTACTGTGTTAAATTTAAACTATTAAAAAAATAAAGGGAAAATTTAAAAAAAGATTTGACAAGGTAAGGGAACTCTGTGTTTGTTTCATTTAAATTAAGATGGTTAAAAGCAGCATTTTTCTTCTGCATAATAAAGTTTCAAAGCTGTATTAAGTCAATGTTCAATTGTAAACTTTTGAAATAACAACCATAACATTTTGTTCAGAGTTACAAACATTTCAGAGTTATGAAAAACCTCCATTCCCGAGGTGCTCATAACTCTGAAGTTCTACTGTAGTTCTCTTACGTAGCATGCTGAATCAGGGCTTGAATGCCCATTACCGTTTTTGTACAAGAGGTCAGGTATCATGTACACTGAGATATTGCTCAGTGAACTGTAGAGCAATTATTGGAAGATGTCAAATTCTATGAACCACTGATCATACGGAAACACTGAAACTAATAGCAATAGGCTCTGAAACATTGTGGGATGGTAGATTAAATTTTTACCTATGGTTTCATAGAATTATAGATATCGCTTTAGGACTCAAGTTGGTTTCCCAAAAGTTGGCACGCCCTAAGTAGAGCCCATTTTTTAAAGTTTGGACCCAAAAGATATGAAATAATATTTTTTATTTTTCTTAAAGTTGCTTTGAACTGAAACTATAACACACACAAAAACCCCTTTGAAAGTACAGAGAAGTAGAATTACACAACAATTGTCATTTTTATGTGGAGAGAAGGCATTCTTGTTGTTTTGCCAAACAAGTGAATAGTTTCATTTGCGTGCAATTTAAACACTGTTTGAAAGTGTGAACACCTGTGAACTGACCCTGCAAACATGTGGATCCTGGAGTTTCTGTGTTAACTGCAGTCACTGCGTTTTAAGGCCAAGGTACTCCGTTCCTCCTCCCACAGCTGAATGGTTGCTGTGATCATTCCCAGGAGTGCCATCTCTCAATGCTGTGATTTGTGTTTTATCAATTTGTATTCATGATTTGGATTTCAGAAGTACCTAAAGGCTCCAATGAGGGATCAGGGCCCCATTGGGCTAGATACTCTAAATTAAGCAAATTGTCTCTAAATGTAAGCAAAAAGATTGGCAGCATCTGCCCCCCAAAATTTACAATCTTGTATTAAGGCACAACCATGGGACAAGACAAACAGAAGGGGAAGATGACAATGGGACACTGGAACAAGAACATCTTATTAGTTAGTAATCATTCTTCACCAGCAGCCTGACTGTTGACAAAGGTGGAAAATTGTGAAGTTCATTACACAAAAAGAATCAAACAGGACTCAACTAAGCAAAACCAAACCTAGCTCTTGAATCCTATCCTCTGTTCTTTACAGCGTGCAATGTTTGGTATCTGAACTCTGTGGAAATGGAGTCCCTCACAGGCTATCAGGCAGTGCAGAAAGCCCTGAGCATAACACTGATGCAAGAGCCTCCTCCCATCTCTACTGTTGTCCATTTCAAGGTGTCTGCTCAGGGGATCACACTGACAGATAATCAAAGAAAGTAAGTGAAGTGAGGTATTGATCTCTGGCCAGACACTGCTGTTAGGGTGACCAGACAGCAAGTGTGAAAAATCAGGATGGGGGTGGGGGGATCATAGGCGCCTATATAAGACAGAGCCCTAGATGTCGTGACTATCCATATAAAATTGGGACTTGTGGTCACCCTAACTGCTGTACACTAATAAAACTGCTGTGGAATTGTTCTTCCTAATCCCTTTCTACAGTCTCCATAAGGCTCATATAGTAATAACACAGTTTCTTTGATCTAAATAAGTAGAGAATCCGGTCCCACATCAGATTGGGCTCGATGTGGTACTGAGCTATTAACACTTCATCCAAACGGCACCTTCTACATCCTGATGTTCTGTAATGGAATTTAATGATCTCATATAACATTTTCTAACAGAATACAGGGTAATTCCAGTGCCCTGGCCAGCACTCCCCACCCATCCTGCTCACTGAATCAGACTGTAATGTCCAATGTACACTGTTGCAGAGCAGTGTTGGCTTAATTGGACACTGCACAATCGGTACTCAAGATATTGCTTTGGTGTGCTTAGTGCATGGAAACTGTTGTATTAAAAATTATGTTCACTTGCTGAATAATACTAGGGTAGCTGCACAGTCTTTGAATTTTTCCAAATATTTGAAAACTGCTCAGTAAGGGGGGAAAGATAGTTTAAAATTACAGGCCAAACTCAGACCCACTGATTTCAATGGAGCTGCAGTCATTTGTACTAGGTCTGAATTTGGAAAGCCAAACCATAAGCCACAATTTTCAAATGTGAGTTGGTAACTTTAGATACCTAACATAGCCTGATTTTCAGAGGTGCTGTGTTCTCGCATTTCCTGTTCAAGTCACCTCAGTTTAGGTATCCAACGTCAGACACACAGGTTTGAGAATTCTGGCACCAAATGAACACTGGAAGGGAGTTTTCTGGCCTGTCTCTCATGGGCCATTATCTTTATATTATTATTCTAAGCTATTGGGAAAACAAACATGGGTTTATTCTTTTCCTGTGGTGGGTTTATTCTTAACCTGTCACTCTGGCAGAAGATTGATTTCTGTTAATATGTAGAAGCCAAAAAGGAAAGAATAAGCTACTAAACTTAAAAATATGTGGTTATTAAGTTCCATCCTTATGTTACTGATCCTTTTATTACTGAGACATTTAAATGAGCCAGTGGTTGAACAGTGGTATGCTTCATAAATAGAGCCATAACCATGAGTCTTATTTCTGCACTGAGGGTTCAATCTTCCAAGCTGCTGAGTGCTTCCTGAAAGGTGCTGCTACCTTCAGCTGCTATACTATGCATGTTGAAGGCACTCAACAGCACTCAGTACCTGGAAGGATTAACGCTTAAGATTGACTCATGTGTAACATATGCAGACATATTTTCCAAAGCCCTCAACACCCAGCAACTCCTATTGTGACAGAGTCCTGAGTGCTGAACACTTTTGAAAATCTGGCTACTTATTTTGGTATCTAAATGGGAGCTGAGGTTTTGACAATCTGGCCCAGGCAGTTTAGTCTATTCCTTGAGTCATAAAGTTGCTTAAAATTTCTTTTATTCTCTTCTATCAGACTCTTTTTCCGAAGACATTATCCAGTCAACACTGTTATCTTCTGTGCTTTGGATCCACAGGACAGAAAGTAAGGATGATGAATGCTGTTTCTAATAGATGTTGTTGATGATGATGATGATGACCTACAACAAACTAATGTTTTTTTTTTCCTTTGTATTTCCCACCTCTTGCTACTCCCCTCCTTCATGCAACAAGATGGATGAAAGAGGGACCTTCTGCAAAGTAAGTTGATAGTGGTCCTAGTCTGTGTATTTACGTGGTTATATTGTATCTCAACTAAGAACGGCTTCTTAGCCTAGGAAACGACTTCAGACTTGAAGATGTGCTTCAAGTTTTCTCTTAAGTTTCCAGATCCTACTTTAATCCTTAACCAAATGTATTTAAAGTGTTGAACTATTGGAGACCTAAAGCATAAAACACATTAAAGTGAAAATAATATACCCTGTGTTGGGTAGGGTATTGTGTTGAGGGAGAGTAGCTCCAAAAGTTTCTTGATTCCTACTTTGAATAGTTCAGTGAATTTTAAGTTTAAAATAATTGCTGTAGCAGCAGTTCCCAAACTTGTTCCACCACTTGTGCAGGGAAAGCCCCTGGCGGGCCGGGCCAGTTTGTTTACCTGCTGCGTCCGCAGGTTTGGCCGATCGCGGCTCCCAGTGGCCACGGTTCGCTGCTCCAGGCCAATGGGAGCTGCTGGAAGCAGCGGCCAGTATGTCCCTCGGCCCGCGCCGCTTCCAGCAGCTCCCATTGGCCTGGAGCAGCAAACCGCAGGAATAGAAACAAGGTCAACAAGATTTCTCTCCCCCCTCTACTCCCCCAGTCCTGTGCCCTACCTACTGCTGAACCACATGGTCTCCACTAACAGCTATCGAAGTCAGATGTTGCTAACTCTCTAAACTGGTGTGACAGAAGTAGGTGCATTTACTGGAACCCTGCAGCAAAGTACTTTCTTTTTCAAAAAATAATGTTTGGTGGAGGAAAGTAAACCTTTTGCTTTTTGAAATAAGATGCCTTCTGTTCGTTAACATGTTTTTGTTTTTGCCTCCTGCAGAGTGTTTGGATTTGTTGCAAGGAAGCAAGGCAGCGCCACGGATAACGTGTGCCACCTGTTTGCAGAGCACGATCCAGAGCAACCTGCCAGTGCCATTGTGAACTTTGTATCAAAGGTCATGATTGGTTCCCAGAAGAAAATCTGAATCCTTCCTAGCCTTTGGTTCAGAGCTCTTCACTGACTTGAGGGAAGGCAGCATGGGAGAAAAAGCATTCTTGGGAGTTTGCAGCTACATTATCCAAACGTAACCATTCCCAAGAAGGAAAGCAGAGGATATTCCATCTGCATAACGTTGCAAAGAGTGTGATCCTTTCTTTGAAGATGCCTCTGACCTATCAAAGCATTGTGTTTTTACATCAAAGGGCAAAATTGTGAGTGAATGCAGTTGGATGCCACCAAAACCCACATAATCCATATCTGAATTAAACAGAGAAGAAAGGCTTTATAGTGCAGGGTTTTAATTATATTTTCACGCACCATTTTCCATCTTGTATCAGAAAAGGAAGAATTTGCCAACTCATTAGATCATGCCCTTTTTTTTTTTTTTCCTGTAGGAAAATTTATTAGAACCACATGCATTCTCTTACTTAGACACTTGCCACAGTTGCATCAGTGGTAGCTATAGCCCTGGCAAACCGATGCTCTTAAGAGAGTGGTGGTTTGTGAAGGACCATTTGCTCTTCCCTTCATCTTTATTTGATAATGGTAGGAGTTGACTAAGAAGGGGGAAGATGTACGTTAGGGGAAGGTTAGTGCAGGCTGATTTCTTTTAAGAAGGGTGCAGAGACATGAATTTTTCAGGGAGATTACTCCATGTTTAGTATAAAGAAGGCTGAGTTTATTTAGCTTGTATAATTTTAAATGGGAGAGGGATAACCAAAAAGAGTCGTGTGGAGAAAGATTGATGTATTCTGTTAATGGTGTTTTTGTTATTACTTTTATATGAAGAGTTAAGCAGGAAAGATGCTGTATTTTAATAATCACAGGATAAAAATGAGGGAAAAGCAAAGAAGAAAATGATTTTATATAATTTATATTTTTGCCTCTGCCAGATTATTTATAGTAGATGTCAAATCTTGATATATTATATGAGTGTTCTTATAGTAAAGCCATTCATGATCTTTGCCTTCTTAGTTTTATTTTGAATAAGTATAGTATGTCGCATGTGCCTTATTATAGAGTAGAGTTTCGTATTTAGACTCTTGTTTTACAGTATTAAACCACTTCCCAGCTCATGTATTTCTGAAATAATGCTTTGACTATGAAATCGGTCCTCCCGCCTCATAGTTTCTTACATACATAGGTTCTTTTTGACAGATTTTTTTTTTAATGAAAGGTGGGGTTTTGTTTTTTGTTGTTCAATTTGTATGGATTGGTGTTAAATTTTATAGGTGAATTTTTAAAATAATTTCTTGAGTCAAGAAATCCAAAAGGGAAAAGAATATTTTCTGTTACTCTTACCCATGTCCAAGACAATCTGTCACAGGTGTCCTTCATATGACCAAGTAAGTCAACATAGTGGCATCTGTATTTTATAAAACTAATTGTTATTCTGTAGTTAGTTTTATAATATAAATATATATACTATATAGTAGGGTAGGTGACTTGTAGTAATTTTCTGTGAGAGCGGAGGGCCCATTTGAAGTCTATTGTAAAATTCCCATTCACCCAAAGGGAACAGGATCAGGCCCAGAAACAGGAATTGGAAGTTACAGACAACTGAAATTCCCAATTGTTTGACATGCCAAACATTTCTGTTCCTTTGGTTTGAGGGCCAAATCTACACATCAGTGACCTGATGTATAAAATGGTGCAGGGTTCTGTGCACACAGTCACAAGACACAGTGGGCTGAGTGGTAACTATCCCCATTTTGAGACTTAAATTGCTTCAGTCTCTTTTTACCAGAAAATGGTCAGGAGGGATAGGAAAAATTATAGAGTTGGCTTAAATAACAAATTCCCACCTATCCTGATCCAAAAACCATTCGTGTGTGTGTGTGTGCGCGCGCGCACACACACACACACGTTGTTCTAACTTTTATTAACAGCCTCCTTTTTTTAGAATTAGAAGAACCACAGGCACCTTATGCAGGGGTCAAGGACAAAATTTGTTACCAAATAATTTGTATAACCATGAATTCAGTGTAAATAATTGTATACTTTTGTATGGGGGCTTTGGGCAAAATTACAAATTAATGTATTTGGACCAGGAAGTGGCTTACATTAGTAACAGTGAGCATTGTATGTATATAGAAAGGTTAGGCAGTTCAAAGTAAAGCTACCATTGAAGCAACAATGGCAAGTGCCTCTGATTTGTACCAAATACTTTCATTCTTCCATCAAACAGGTTGATTAATCAAACAATGTTTTCGTACCATCTAAAAAGAATGCAGTGAGATTGTTTATTTGGTAACCTTGATCCCTTTCAAAAACATTGGGACCAGTGGCCCAAGTAGGAATTCTGGTGGGTTCCATTAGAATAAACAAATTGGTCTCTGTTGGTTACTGTTGGTCTCTTTTGGTTTCATTTCGAGGAACCACATCCTCAGGAACCAGAAGGCTAATAGATCCATTACTCGGTTCTGAAACCTAGCTAGCCAGTTGGAACATATTGAATATTCTCAACTGAAATTTCTCCTACATTCCAGCTGGAGATTCTTCACTGGGGACATCAGTGGAGTCACACCCGCACTCTGTCTAACCCATTGGTGAATTATGGCTCTCAGATTCTGTGTGAGATAAGTTAAGTTTGAGTGTGTCTCCACAAAAGCTGGTGTCAGCCACTGCGCAGCCTTTGGCCCCACTCTGCTGAGGATGGAATGTTTGATTCCCAGTAAACAGGCTTTGCTATTGTGGGCCTTATTCTGCATTCCTTGTGAATTCTGAAAACCTGTTGAATTTGGTGGGCTTTTAGGAGCACTAGGAATTCAGGTCTGGGCTCTTCAAGGTGCCTACCTGGGAACTTAAGTTGTGCTGAGTAATGGGAAGGAGGAAATTGCCATAGTTACTAAGGCTTGGTCTACACTTACCCCCCAATTCGAACTAAGGTACGCAACTTCAGCTACGTGAATAACGTAGCTGAAGTTCGAAGTACCTTAGTTCGAACTTACCTCGGTCCACACGCGGCAGGCAGGCTCCCCCGTCGACGCCGCGGTACTCCTCTCGTCTAGCTGGAGTACCGCAGTCGACGGCGATCACTTCCTGGTTCGACTTATCGCGTCCAGACAAGACGCGATAAGTCGAACCCAGAACTTTGATTCCCAGCCGCCGAACTAGCGGCTGGGTGTAGACAAGCCCTAAGAGACCCTCTCTAATGTGTGTTCCATTTCATGGTATATTATCACATGCTTTGTTTTCATATGGAATATATTTAAAAACACAAAGCAAAATAGTACAGTAAATATAATTGTGTAGTATATACATAAACACATTCATAAAACTTTGGTTCATGGTAAATACATGACTAAATAGTATAGCACTTTCCTTCTAAGGATTTTGATAGATGTGTATATGCAGTCTCATAAGTAATGCCAGCAAGTTGCCACGTGTATTTAGCCACGCTCCTATTAACCTGCTTGTTAAATGTGCTACTATAATCTTACAGTGTTAAACTACAAAAATGCTGAAAGCCATGTTTTTAAAGGTTTTTAATTAAATGGTCCCCATATATCCAACAGTATCATTAAAATTTTAATGTTTCCTTCTCTGCCTTACCTATTAGTGAACATTTTTTGCCTTTTTCTTGAAACTGTAAAAAACCAAACAAACAAAAAGTATCCAGTATGTAAATGAATGTTCTATAAATTCTTTGTATAGTCATTTTCTCTGCTCTTTAAATATCACGTCTATTCAGATTATAATAAAATTATAAATTGGAAATCTCACAGCACAGTGTGAAAACGGTCCGTTTTGAAGTGATTGAATAACCTTCCTTGGATGATACGCTTCATGCTATTCACTCTGACTAGGGGCATTTTGAGCCAAGGTTTTGTGTCCTCTGTCACAATAACTCCCAATCAAGGCTGTCACTATGACATAGGACCTGTGCCAAAGAGAATTGTAGCCTAATTGAGACTATCGTTCACCCACCTAACGCAGTGGAATAGGATTTTCAAACCATTCAGTGCTGGCCCAGTGCCGCACCTACTGAAATCAGTGGGAGTTCTGCCATTTACTTCAATGGGAGCAGTGAGGCCAATGCTGTTCTTGTCAAAATCCCACCCCTAGTTTCCCACTCTATGGCTTTCTGTACTACAGATGTCACTATAATAATGAGAGTATATCGGAACACACAAATCAGAATCACTATGGACTTTTACATTGATTAAGTAAAGATTTTTGTCTACTACTTTTCTCTCATCAGATATATGCTGGGGATGGGGAAATGAATGTGACAGGGATTTCTTTGGAACCTCCACCCTCCCCCTAAAATAAACCAAAGATAAAAGTGAAAGAGAACAGAACGAAACACCATGAGAGCTGAAAACAGTTGCTTCATTAAAAGTACAGTTTGGAGTAGCCCTTTTCTTTATAATCAACAAAGAATCCTGTATTTCAGGAAGACTCCAATTAGCACAATGGAGTGTCAGGGCAGTTGTTAATTTGTTGACTCTCTCTATACATTACATTTTCATTAGGGTTTAGGAATTGCTCTTTAGTTCAAATACTGATTACCTTATATACTGTACTCAGTAACTTAAGCTACCAGCTGACCTTCTGGGAAATATAGGTATGTATTTATTTGATACTTGTCATATAATTTAAGAATCCAGTAAGTAGAAGCTCTAGTTCCATATTTCTGAGGCAATAAGAAAAAGTGTTGATAATGCCCTTTCTATGGGGAAGAGAATGGAGGGAATTTTTCATTCAGTGCAGATAACTGTCGTTCATCATTAAGGACAGATGTGAAGTGTAGGCATAAGGGCTTTGGGAACTGATCGTGAAAGGTCTTTGTCAGCGTTAACCAGACTACTCCATGGACAATAGCTTGACCTGCATAATTTTTGTCTTTGAAAGCAGACTCAAAAGAAATTCAAAACCTTTCTTTGTCAAGGCAGTTCAATGCAATGCCCTAAAGTGAATGGCTGGATTATTAAGAAGATCACAGGCTGCTTCTGTGTGAGCTAAAGAGAATTTGGATTAGAGCAGTGGTTCTCAAACTGTGGGTTGGGATCCTAAAGTGGGTTGCAACCCTGTTTTAATGGGGTCGCCAAGGCTGGCGTTAGACTTGCTGGGGCCCAGGGCCAAAGCCCAAGCCCCACCGCCCG